ATCAGCCATAAGCACATTTAAATGGAAGAACAGGATTGTTACTGTTCTACGTTACTATAATAAACTAAAAGCAACAATGATGAAACACTGAATCAGAGATAGTAGGAACTGCAGATGCTGGAGAATCCGAGACAACAAGGTGCAGGGCTGGATGAACACAGCAGGCCAAGCAGCATCATAGGAGCAGAGAGGCTGACGTTTCGGGCCTCGACCCTTCATCAGAAAACACTATTGAGTAAGCAATTTAAACTTTAAGGAAATGTTTCCTCATTTAATCTTTGAAATGACTGAAAATTCCCTTCCTGGGCTGCTTTTTTCGCTCTGTCCCTTCAGTTCTCCAAGAGCTAGTCTTTCTCTCACTCTTGCTTTCACCCTCCCTTAAGTTTGAACACCATCAGCTCAACTTACTGTGGTCATTGTTTACAGATGTGAATATCTTGCACCTTCTTACTAGTAGGATTTCTCTCTCCTCTTGCTCTCTTTCTTCACCACTACCAACCAAGCTTACTGGGTATGATTCAACAGATCATTTGGCCCCCTTCATTCCTGTATTTTACCCTAAACTAAAGAATCCCAAATCATCATCATCATATAAAATTTGTCAGAATATTGGGGTGCGGACAGCATTTCATTATTAGAAAATTGAGACTGATCAAAGTTAGTCTTATTAAAAAAACAGCCTTTTTAAATTTTCAGAACCTAATAAAGCGTCAATAGTTAAATTAATTAAAGGAGAACTTGTAGATGAGAAAAGGAAGACTTCCATTACCATTTTTCATGACCATTGCACATCTCAAATTGGTATATAGGCAGTAAAGGTGTAATCACATTTGTAATATAGGAAATGCAACAACGAGCAAATGCTTAGCAAGCTCCTGCGAATGGTAACATAATGACTGGATTCTGGTCAGCTCAGTGGGATAACTCTTGTGATCCCCTTAGAATTGAGGAAAGTCAGGTCGATGGTATCCTACTTCTGAGCTGCTCTATGTTGAGTCCCTGTCAAAGACATGATGGTTGCAGAAGCTGCATTCATGGTAGAGCTAAACCAACATGTAAGCCTTTGGTGGATAATAAGTGCAGGAGAGTTTCCTGATCTGCTGTGCTTGATGTAGAGTGGCGTCCCTCAATCTGAAACCTCTGGCCACTGGTTCCGGGAAAAACTGTCAACACATTTTTGATTTACCTCATTGGAAAACCCCTAAAGTGTCTGAGAAATAATGCCATTGGATATTTTGTATCCACAGCACATGGTGAGCTGTTCTTAATGTCTCAACTGAAAGACAGCACCTCTGACAGTGCAGTGCTGCTTCTGTACTTCAATGTCAGCCTTATTTGTGTGCTCAAGACCTGGAGTGGGACTTGAAACTGGAACCTGGTCGCTCAAGAGATAAAAATGCCATGGCTGAAATTCATATGCCTTTACATTTGCACAGTGTAACTCATGCCATATTTCAGTTCAAAATGTTGCATGCTGCTTATGATGTAATGATCGAGTTTGTCTAGTTCATTCATGTTAGGTTGGTTGGCTCAGTTAGCTGGACAGCTAGTTCGCGATGCACGTAACACCAATAGTGTGGGTTCAGTTCCTGCACTGGCTAAGGTTTCTATGAAGGATTCTCCTTCTCAGTCTCTTACCTCGCCCAAGATGTGATGAACATCAGGCTAAATCACTGCCAGTCATAGCTATCTCAGAGTAGCCATTTGGTTGGCTGGGACGATGGCGATTTTATCTTTGGTTAACTAAACAATGCTTATTAGGCTTGGAAGTAATCAGGTTTGTTCTCCAATAATAGTGACCTTTCTTGTGTTGAGGAGCCCTGAGGCAGGTTAAAGAAAAGGAATAAGAATTTTAAATTCAAGATTTAGGGTGATTGGTAATAGTGAGGATAGGGGTTATGTAGTGACAGGAATCAGAATTTAATGCTAAGGCAAATACTGCTGTAATGTGAATCTTTGCACAATAATCCTTAAATAGGGCCTTTGGTACTTTATCACCTTGCTGTTTTTAAATTGCCTTTGACACTTGCCAACATAAGGCGCAGTTAAAAGCAAATTTTATAGTCCAGAAGAGGCCGTTTGGCCCATCAAGTCTGCACTAAAAATCTACTTTAAATCTACATTAGTTCCATTTTCCAGCACTTAGCCTAAAGTCTTGAATGTTATGACATTTTGAGTGTTTATCGAAGTACTTGGTAAAGTTGAGGTTTCCTACTTCAGTTGCCTTCCCAGACAATGCATTGCAGATTCCCACCATTCTCTGGCTGAAAACATTTTTCTTCAAATCCCCTCTAAACCTTCTGCCTTTCATATTAAAATTATGTCCTCTTGTTATTAACCCTTCAACTAAAGAGAACTAGTTTCTATCCACCCTGTCCATGCCCCCCTCAATCTTATATGCAACAATCTGGTCCCCTCTCTGACTTCTCTGCTCTAAAGAAAACAACCCAAGCTTATCCAGCCTCTCTTCGTAGCTGAACTGCTCCACCCCAGTCAACAATGTGGTGAATCACATCTGCACCTGCTCCAGGATAATCATTTCCTTCCTAGACTAGAACTACACAGACTACTTCACCTGTGTTGTAGCCAAATTCCAGAATAACAACTACAGAATAACCTCTGTTCTTTTCATCCATGCCACAACTGATGAAGGCAGATGGCTCATATGCTTTCTTAACCACCCTATTAATCTCTCTAGCTGCCTTCAGAGATCTGTGGACAAGCACTCCAAGATCCCTCTGTTCCACTTAGCAACTTCATGCATTTGAGTACTCCCTTGTCTTGTTACTACTAACAAAGTGCATTATCTCTCACTTTTCAGAGTTAAATTCTATCTGCCATGGATTTGCCCCCCATCTGACCAATCCACCTAGATCCTTTTGTAACCCAAGACCTCCCTTCCTCACTCTGAACTACCCCGTCAGTCTTCATGTCATTTGCGGACCTATCAGCCCCCTTTCATTTTCTTCCTTGCATTTACATGTATCAGAAACG